CCTGCTTAATTAAACAGGAATCCAGAACAGAAAATATGGGGAAAGAGACATTGCGAACGGTAACCCAACATGTAGAGAATCGTTTGACCTACAGATTAAATAATTCGATGATGACCCATTGGGTTTTTGCGAATTGTTCTCAAGATTAAATATTAAAGAAGAATGTTTATTTGCATAACGATTTTGATCGATTTACATATTAAATGCGTAATGATAGATCCGTTTTTCCGATCGAACGTGGATCGTCGAAAGAAAAATTCTGCTGCAGGATCATTACGACGAAACGTCGTTACTCAATACGCGGCGAATGTCAATCGTGCGGCGTAATTGCAATTACGATTAGAGCAATTTTCATCGTTGCCCCTCGTCGAGTTGTCGGCGCCTACTTAAGAGAGCGATCGTCTCGCGCCGATCAAATTATTATCACACTCGTGGAGTATCGGCTTCATCGATCGCTCGAAATATTCTCGTCCTCCGCCGTAATGACCGACAGGAAGTGCACTTCGGATCTTTATCGGCGCCATAAACGTTCCATATAATAGATATAATTCAGTCCAGCATCTGATTACACGATCTGCTGACTCCTCTCGTTCGACGAACGAGTGTTTCTTCGAGGTCGTCAACAATGTCGACGCTCCCTCTTTCGTGCCTTGATCACACCAGTCTGCGACTGGTCGTCCCTCGCTTCTTCTTGTTCCGCAAGATCGCTTCTCTCATTCGCGAGAAAATCGGGTCGACGAACCTCGAAAGTCCTGGCGAAAACGGTCCCGCCACGGCTACGCCAATTTTATCCTTCCGCCAGCTCCGTCCGCCTGCACGCTTCTTTCTCCTCGTTTATTTCTCGTTAGGCCAATTCCTCACGAACGGTAGAAATGAATTCGAAAGAAGAGCCCAGACACGAGTATACCGATCGAAATACCACCAACCATCATCCAAGGATCATTAGCGAATAATAAAATCCACGAGATGTGTCCGAACGTCGGCTTCTCTTCAATCCCGCAGCATTTTCGGTGCTTGGCACAAAACATGAATCATAAACTGTACTAACGCAACAGCAACTTTTCGTATATCGTATTATCGTATCGTGAAAAATGTGATATAAATTATTTCAGTTTGTCTTCAAGATCATTACGTGAAGTGAAAAGTAATTTTTTTATGGTATGGTAATTTTGCAACATATATAAAAGTATATCATAAAGAAACGAGATAACGAGATAACGTAATGTAAATGAAAAAAAAAACATATTGTACTGTTTTAAATTATTTTATAAATTGTCTCGTTCTACTCCCGTTTGAGACTAACAAAATTATATATCTATATTCTGTAATTTAAAAAAATTTCCTCTAGTTTATGCAATACAAGGCCCGTTAGAATGTAAATGATAAAATGATAAAATGAGATAAAAGAGTTAACTGTCAATCGCATTTAATTCTTGGTTTTTTTTTTTTTTTTTTTTTTTTTAATTTCAAACCTCGAGGCTCGTGAATTCTTTCCTCTTGTATCACAGATTTAAAAGCTTATCACTTTTTCAAATATCACTGACATTTAGTTCATTTTCAAGCCTAGCCAATATTAAAAATTGACAAAATGATAAAAATTTTATATTGGAATAAGAAAAATTTACAATAATTGTAATTTTACATATATGAAAAATAAAAAATGATATTGACTCTAATTAAATTATAATTAATGTATTTTATGTGTATTTTATATCATATTATAATTATAATAATGATTTATTTAATACTTTAATAATTTATTTAATAATTGAATGATATTCAAAATAAATAAAAATAATTCTACAAAAAACTAGTTTTTTTTCTATTTTCTTTTTCTTTTTTTTTTTTTTTTATTTGTTCTTACACTTACTATATTTACACTTACTATATTTATACTTATTATATTTGCACTTACTGTATTTAGATCTCATTGTATCGTGATGTTATTGATATTAAAGTATGGATGACAGTTATGCATGGAGAGTCATTGTATTGCTCAGTAACAGCCGCGGAATGCGAGTAATGAAAGCAAGGTTGATCCCAAATAGATTGCGAATGATAATTCCTGATCGATTATACATATACATTCTAGCTCCCGTAAAAGTCGATTTCTTCTAGCTCGCAAATTTTCGACATTTCTTTTTATCACGGCCGGTCGAACGAAAGTCCTTCTATATACATTTTTCGCATGCCAGATCTAAATCCTGTTTAGACAATTCGAGTTTTCGCGATATCTCCTTGCATTAGTCGATCATTGAAAATACTTAAACTCCGGACTGTCTTAGAATTCGTAATTAATTAAAATCAACCTTTTACATAAATCCTTTTTGAAAAAAGTTAAGTAATTCGATTGTACCGCTTGTTGTGCTTATATAATAAAATGTCATCTTTAATGCCACATCGCGTCGTAAGATGCTCACGACGCGTGTAATTTTCTAGAAACTAATTAATTATTAATCTCGACTTTTTTTTCGTAAATACAAAGTGAATACATCTTCGCGCGTCATCTATCCAAATACAAGTGGAAGGATTCATTTAAGATACAGCGTAATTTTCCGCGAGTTTACGCCGCGGTCGCAATTAACATAACGATGAATGATAATTTAGCGAAAGGTCAAGAGCCAAGCGAGGATCAGAAATATTATGTCATAGAACGGTAGAGTTTATTAGTCAATTTAGCAGGGAGCTTAACGGTCACGCGAGACAAAAAGGCGAAGGCGAACGCGACGTGAGGATTGTGCGCGGAGGAGATAAGAGCGCGATATTGAACTGAAGGAATTTTAAGGTCGCGGCTGGATATGGACGCGAGTGATCTTTGACTTGCGACACCGTTGACTCTTGCCGGTTTTCAGGGATCATTAATTTCATGCGATTCGATTCCGACGGAGTCGACTATTTTTGCGGCCCGCATCGTGCCGCCGCAAAAATCTTAGCGATTGAGCCATTCTTTCCCCGATTTTTTGAATTCCACTTTTTCCCGATAATTATCGATTACCGTACGACCGAATTCCACAGCGGCAATCTTGTGTACACGTGTACCGAGCATAAATCAACGTATAGAATATTATTAACGTATACGATAATGGAGGGCACGTCGTGACTTAATCGTTGAATTCTGTATCCCAAAGACAACAAGAAATTTCAAAATAATTTCAAAATAATTTCTTTTCTATTTCTATTTCTATCCTAGTAACGTATATGGTCCGATATATTCGAAAAATTTAATTTTAACTTTTCTCCATGATCTTATAAATTAAATGTCATTATATTACTCATAAAAATCGAAATTTTAGCTAATTTAAATCAAATAAAGCAGAAATTGAGTACATTCCACATCCTTATAATTACAAATAAAAATCCTAAAAAAGAACTGAATACTAAGCACATCTTCTAAAAATGGAACACTCGTTTCCATTCCACCGTGTTTCGTTCATTCGGCAAAGTAAATCGATTGACGATGGGTCGCAAATAGGCGCTGAATATTGGGATCGAAGCTTCTGGAGCGTAAGACAAAATTGAGTCTAGTCTCATGCCAAGAGGAATTACGAGCCGACTTGGCCGGCATAGTTTGCTCTTGAAGGCTCGCTCGTACGCCCAAATAGCGCGTAGCACGTTCCTCACCGGCGT